GAAGGGTCCGGATCTCTGCGGGGAGATCATTCCACAGGGCTGGAGCAGCTACAGAGAAAGACCTCTCCCGAGTAGTCGCCAACTGGAATTGGCATGGAATGTGTAAAAATAATGAGAAATCCCTAAGCAAAAGTGAGGAGTGTCTGTATTTCTACTAAATTACCATAGAATAGGAACTCATGAGAAAAAGAAGAAACAATGAAGGAAAGGAGAATGGAATTGAGTAGTCTAACTGCTGGAGCATTCTGCAACACTTGCTGTATTCATTTGGCCTATTCAGGTTTCATTTGCTATATTCACTTCCATTGTCTATACTCCATCTACTCCCTGATTTATTCCAAGACTGAAAGCATAAAAGGCCTTGTGCTAAAACCCCTTTATTACAACTTTTTGATCTCTGTGAAACATCCTTGGAAGACTTAGGCATGGTGAGAATAGATTCACATTTTTCCTCCTGTTTTGTAGCATACAACAAATAGTATTTTTTTTTTTAATGTGAGAGTTTGGGGAGTGGTGTCAAGCCAGTCACACCCATCCAGTTGGCTACACCCATCCAGTCAACCATGCCTGCCCGGCCCCCTTGCCCTCATGTGGTCCTCAATGAAATCAAGTTTGACACCCCTGTGCTAAGTTCACCATGTTTCTTTTTTTCCTGGGCTGCTGCCTCAGTCCTGCCCTTTTATTATTATGAGTGCTTTTTTTATATAGGTCTTTTGCTCTGTCACCTGACATGGATTGCCTTTCTGAGGATGCTATTTTCCTCCTGTAGGTGCAAGGAGATGTTATTTCCTTAAAGATGGTATTTCATTTCCCATAGGTGCAAGGGGTACATCTTCAAGCATTCTATAAACGTTCTGCTGCTCAGGGACCATTCAGCGTGGATCCTGTGCGAGATTTACTTATATGGGCAATTGTTCAAAACCGCAAGGAGTTGGCTGATATAATTTGGGCTCAGGTAAATTTTTCTACTTTCAAACCATCTCTACATGGGGTTGAATCCCAACTCTTTTGTCTTTGTGATAAATCTGAAAATGTAGATTAGATGTGGTAAATGTAGCTTTGTAAATGTTTCCATTGAAAGTTCTTTTTCAGCATCGGTGATTAACAGAGATTCATCAGTACATAAATATAACTAGCAATTAGAAGAGTTTTAGTTTAGACACAGATTTACCATTTCAGGGGAAATGGGTCATAGCCAGGATATAGAGCATTGAGAAGGACGATAGCACAATTCCCTGCAATCTGGGAATGTGCATTCTTTCTTCCCAAACAGACTGTCAAAATTAACGTAATTTACCTGGAGCCAGAAATATTGTTTTTGTGCTAACTTGTCCTATTGCTTCAGAGTCGAGATTGTATTGCAGCAGCATTGGCCTGCAGCAATATGCTGAAGGAAATATCTAAGGAGGAAAACGACACTGACAGTAGTGAGGAAATGCTAACCCTGGCAGAGAAGTATGAGCACCGAGCTGTAGGTGAGTCTAGGCTGGTTTTGTTGAGGTATTGTTATTACATTGTTCAACCAGGCTTTATTCAATTCCTTACAGTTTTATTTGGGATAGCTATTCATACACAACTCTTTCAGCTTCAAGCAAACTATAATCAGTGCTATTCCAGCTCCATTAATGTGAACAGCAGCTGCTTTGATTCCAGATAGGACAATTGCCATAGAGTATTTTCGTACTGAACTAATATCATAGTATTTCCCTATTTTGCTTTCCAAAACTTCAAGCAGTAAACAATACCCAAACAAGGAATGATCAACTAAGGTAAACAACCAAACAGTAAATAACAGCCTAATCAAGGATGAAACCACCAAGGCCACTCCCAACACTGACAGGACAAACATCTAGAATATAAACTGAGAGCAAATCCCACTCCTTACTGCTTACTGATGATATTACCTAGTTGGGCAATGAAAGGCCTGCAAAAAAAACAGCCAAACTGAGAGAGCACTAAGGACTACAGTAATATTATCTGGGTTATCAGATAGGCTAATAAGGCTTATCCTGAAGTTAATTGTTTTAAAATATAGTACTGGTTTTAATAATTATGCTTGTGGTGAAGAAAAATAAATGTTACTGACATAAATTATGGATGTCCTTTAATTTCTAGAATAAAGTTCATGAAATTATCTTTTATGATGAGATTGCCAACAAAATATAACTGTTACCTTTCTATTTCTCTTAGCCTTATCTATAAAAATCAGTTAGGTAGGCACAGGGAATTTTGTTATCTTTCAATATAAGTTACCTTATAGGCTTTTGAAGCTAAAATGTCTCTGCTCTCCATAGAAAAAATTGGGGCAAAAATGAACTATTTCTCACCTTGCATGTTTTTCTAGGTGTCTTCACAGAATGTTGTCGGAAGGATGAAGAAAGAGCCCAAAATCTCCTGATCCGGGTCTCTGATGCCTGGGGAAAGACCACATGCCTTCAGTTGGCTCTGGAAGGCAAAAACATGAAGTTTGTTTCTCATGGGGGTGTTCAGGTGTGACTTACTTTCTTATACACAGTACTTTTGTTTTTATTCCAAATCAAGGGAAACAAGCCATTGTATTTAATGTGGATCAGATCCTATCTCAACTGTTATATTAAATACTGGGTACCCACATTGAGAAGAATTCAGATGAATTGAAGTAGCTTTAAAAAAAAGCAAGCAACATCAGAGGACTACAAGCTACATAATAGGGGAAAAGGTGGAATAAAGTGAGAATATTTATGCTTAGGAAGACTGTTGGAGGATATGATTGTACCTTTTTGAAAATAGGTTACCCAGAAGGTCAAAACTTTTTCTCTATTATACCAGAGTGCAGAATAATGGATTTTAAAAGAAAATAAATAAATAAATCAGATTCCTACTGAATATTTTTTTTAAACGTGGATCTAAGTAGTTCTTACCAGCCTTATTTATTGCAAGTTGGATAATATGTAGCCCCCTATATATAACTTTTACTAAGGAATTATTGCATTGCTAAACAAACATCACCCACTATTTCTTTTTCAATTTGATTGCCTTCCTCTGTTACTCCTGCAGTGTTTTTCAACCTGGACAATGGAAGTGAACTTTAACTTCCAAAATTCACAGGAAGCTTGCTGGGGAATTCTGGAAGTTGAATTCAACGTATTTTCCAGGTTGAGAAACACTGTGCTGGAGGATGTATCTCTCTTAGATGGCAGTACTGTGTATTTGTCTATGTATTTATATAGACACAGACACAGACACACACACACAAACACACACACAAACACACACACACACAAACACTTCTGTGGCTTAACCCTCAAGAATATCTTAAATAGAATATCTTAAATGAATATCTTAAATAGAATACTGGTGTTTTCTTTCCACAACTGCGTAAGTGACTATGTTATTTGCTTCTGTAGCTTCATGATACAAGATGTTCCATGCTTTGCACTACCGTACATAAACTCAATACCAGTGAGATGGCATTGGAGAACAAAGAATGATATAGAATTGTTGAGCAGGCAATTGAAGTTGAAGTGGGGATAGGGGAATGTTATATAACGGCATCACTGTTTCATAAGCAGTATTTCTATATCCAGATGATAGCATGACTCATTTCACACCAAAGAGACCTAGGTTACATTTTTGACACAATCAACTACATTTCTAAGTAGTAGCACTTTAAAAAAGACATCCAAGAAAAAAAAATTCTGGGGAAAAAAACTCTTAAAATTTTGGAAAAAACTGAAATGCAACTTTTACAAGAGAAAACATTGCTATTTTGGAAGCATATATTTCTAGTCAGAAACATGGAGTCAAGCTATCACCTAGTAGCGCATCATGCCTGGATTATATTTTTCTAGTTCTCTTGCGGTTTGGGGAGATTCCTTGCTTATATCTCAACTCAGCATTTTGTATCATGCTTGATTACACACATGGTGACCTCCTCTGTCCTGCTAGAACACAACCAATGTGTATTGCACAATTAGCTATCCATTACTTAGCCTCATCCTGGTGGCTTCAGTTCCTTGGTGAGTTGAGTCTCATTCTTCTTGGCAAACCGATTTCCATATCTTGGATATCTAACTCTCAAAATGTCACTTCTCTTTTCAGGGCTTCCTAACCAGAGTTTGGTGGGGAAAGCTGAGTGTCGATAATGGGATATGTCAGGTCATCCTATGCATGCTGTTCTTCCCTCTGCTCTATACAGGCCTCATAACTTTCAGGTACTTGCAGAACTTGACTGTACTGTTTTATGGCAGCACAGGGAGATTTATAGGACTTTGTAATTTCATCTCACCTCGCCACTACGCAAGATAAAAATACCACTAGGGCAAAATTCAGGTGTGGGCAATCGACTAATTACCCTACTCTTCTCTAAAAAGATGATTAACTTGTATGTTATCTAATATTTACATTTATCACCCTTATACCAGATCAGGGGCAATTTTCTCAATAATAGGAACTGGGTCTGTTGTGGAGGACTAGCCAATAGTTCCTGGCTGTGCTTTGCCCACTCGCCTGCAAGGTCACCCGTTGACCGAGACAGCGGTGGGTGGCTGAGCCCAGGTTCCCTCATGCAATGGCTGCTTCCGCTGCCTCCTCAGGCTGCTCAGGCAAGAGATGAGTACTACATGGATGCAACGAAGCACTTTCTCTCCACGCCCTCTCATGGCCACCAGTTGACTGAAGGACCACACAGTGACTGCATAGAGCCAGACTGGACTTAGCTTCTTCTCCCACCCACTTATTTACATTTGATTTCTAATATCCATTTGACCAAGCTGGACAGGGACAGCCAAAGGGCCAGGTGCTGCCCAGGGGCTGTAAAATACCCAAATCTGTACTAGAGTAAAACACTTTAGCTATTAGATGTGTTATTTTCCCCTCTGCAGCCATATTAGTAACATGTGTGAAGCTGTTTCAGTTATGTTTTTCTACAGTGTGTGTCTTTCATAAAAGAAGTCAGCCTCTTCATTTTCTAAATTGTTGAAATATATATATATATATTTCAACAATTTAGAGGCAATATTAGAGGCAATACAGCACAGGCTCGATTCCCAGTAAGGGTATGGCTAGCTGATGAGAGCTAAATAGCTTGAAATAGATCTATACTAGTCTCCCTTTATTTATTTATCAGCACAAATATAACATATTTGTATATATATAACAAATGGATGAATATTTCCTATTTTCTAGTAAAATGATCCAGCAATATACAGATTTATGTCCAACTTGAAACTAATAAAACACAGAATCAAATTCAGTTCATTAGTCAAACGAAAGCATTTACCTGTATTTTTGCTACATCTAGATGTAGTTCCCATGATAACAAATGCTTTTTAAGTATGCATAACATGGGGTATTCTTGCTGTTCTAAAGTTGGCACAATTTTTTAAGCTGGATATAAGCATTGTCAGCAATTATCCAAGGTGAATCTTGACAGTGAGGGACTGTGTCAAGATCATTGACAAAGAGTAAGACTGACTATGTCATAACCATACAGTAGACATAGAGATATGTGGAAGAGGTATGCAAAAATGACTTCTTGCTGTAAATACAGCCAGGCCAATCTGCCATTCTTTCCATTCACAGAAAAAAGAGGATCCAGCCAACTACTGGTTTAAACCGCTTCCGAGCGTTCTTCACTGCCCCTGTGGTCATCTTCCACCTCAACATCCTTTCCTACTTCAGTTTTCTCTGCCTATTTGCTTTTGTGTTGATGACAGATTTCCAGTCAACTCCATCCTGGCCAGAATATGTCGTCTATTTCTGGCTTTTCTCCTTAGTGTGTGAAGAGGCCCGTCAGGTATTGTTGCACAAATCAATACAATATTGCTCTTTAGCTTCAGACTGTTACTTGACCTTGACCGCTTGGAGACATTGCATTACCATTTCCATCCTTATTGGGATGGAAATGTCAGATGCAGGTAGCCAGATGTTACACAATGGATTCCTAGTAGAGGCTATGAACTCTATAGAATAAGATACAGCTAACCATATCTGACAATTCCCAGTGAGGTTGAAACCAGTAATGTTGTGCTTGATAGTGCTCAATATAATTGAAAATACCTCAGAGGACATGCTCCATGTAAAAATAGGGAACTCATGTGAAATGCCTATACATGGAAGCATGACATATATAGTATTTGTATCTATCTTAAGGAAGGTGGCCTGTATATGTCATTTTGAGATGTTATTGATTGTTCTATATGGTAGGAAAGTTTTCTCTGTAAATGGGGGGAAAAACCTACCTAACCATTTAAAGACAATGCATTCAATATCCTAATTCAAAATCAGATGAACCCATGGGCTGCTTTTAGTGCAATAAAAACTGATTTAACAACTTCAGAAATCTTTTTTAGACGAGTGCATGAGATGGGAGAAGAGGGAGCACTCAAGCTTATTTTCTTTTCAATATGCTGTAGGGATCACAATGTCTGAACCAACCCATGGTAAATCCTTTTCCCCTTCCCCCCCCCCCTCTCTCTTCTTTCTTTCTTCAGCTTTTTTGTGATCCTGATGGGTTTGGCTTGGTCAAAATGGCTTCTTTATATTTCAGTGATTTCTGGAATAAACTGGATGCATGTGCCATTCTGATCTTTATAGTTGGATTGGTCTGTAGGTAAGTCCCTATGTATGGTTATCCTATTTTTCAAAGAGAAAATTGGTGGAAGGTGGGAGGATTGTTTCATTATGCTAATTACAATTTTTCAAAAATCTACCTGATAAAATGTATAAAAGAAAAAGTAATCAAAATGCAAATAATTTCACCCAGTTTCTTTTGCTGCAAATGCCTTAAGATCAGATTTAGGTTTATATCACATTCTTTCAACCTGTGCCTTAGAATTCAAATCCTTTCATTTTAACTCTACATATGAGGACGTTTCATTTATATGCAATTCCCCTTTGTTAGCTCTTTGATCAGTTGGACAGAGAATTGTCCTGAATATATAGCCTTTCTGGCTAGTCTTTTCCTATAAGAGATTTACTATCCTGTTAATCCACAATTTCTCTGAGTCTTTTTCATATTTTGGTTAATATGCTAAGCATGCCATGAAATATTGTTGTAGAGGGAATGTATGCATAATCCTCTTTGTGTGAACGATTGTTTACCTTAAGAAAAAATATTACTTCACTCGGCAACCTTTGGCAACAAAGATGTCCTTATAATTAAGACCAGGGATCTTTGGGAACCTCGCCCCAATGTTACATTGG